ACGAGGATGCGAGACTTGAGCTATGAAGTTTACGAGCGCTGCGGTTGTGTGTTGCTTACCACTCATTGAATTCCTTGTGCCTGTACGCTTCGTACGACATGTGATTCTGACCTTTCGATTGAATTGGATGATATCCACGAGTTCTGGAGGACACTAGAGATGTTACAGCCAGATAATTTAAGGTTAATGTTTCATTTACAATTTTCTACTTTCTGATTAATTGTTAATTACAAATTAAAGTATATTACGTTGTTAAATTCTTTGAATTTTTTTACCGTACACTTGTAGGGACAGATCACCAGAGCCAGGATAACCAGAGTGCATGGAAATATGTTGATGCATTTCAGACGTTTGTTCAAGAGGTTGAAATGGGCGATCCTGCGACGATTCGCTACATCAATCACCTCATGTACGCTCAACTTTTCTCGGACCAACAAGCTTATGCAGGACCTGAGGTTAAGGAAAATACGCGAGGTCGTCCCAAGAAAACCGATTCAACTAAGCGTAAACCATCGTGCTGGGAGTACAGGGATAATTTGAGAGGTCGTCCGGTGGGCCGTACAAGCACTTCTTCGTGTGGACCGACAACAGCCAGTCTTCTCAACCGTCACAAGAGGCACCACAAGGTGACATATTTTTTTTTATACAACTGAACGTTAATTAAAGTGTTAATATAAATTATGTTATATAAATTGTGACGTGAAATTATTATGATGTTTCAGCTGGTACGTCGACATATATATTTGGTTTTGAATACCGAAATAGTATTCCCTGGCATATGTTGGAACACGTAGTGAGCTACTTGAATGTGAAAGCGGATGAAAATTGTGGATTTCGGGTTATAGCGAGTTACATTTACAGGGACCAGGAGATGTGGCAACTCGTACGAAAGTGGTGCACCATATCCCTGCTAACCAACCGGTACTGGTGGTGTATCATATCCCCTCTGACCAACTGGTAGTGGTGGGGCACCATATCCCTGCTGACCAACCGATAGTGGTGGTGCCTGGAGTCTCGAATTGCCTGCCTGGTCAGTCTGTACCCTCCGAGCCTCTTCGATCATCATCTGTCGTTCCCGACGAATGGACGCATTTATATTCCAACTTTTTGTGTGTCGGGCTCCAGAACCGTCAATATACTCATCGACCTCGTCGTCGTCCCTGCAGATTGTCCAGGTCTAGTAATACCCTAAAAATAAAAATTAGTAAATATAATTTTAAAAAAAAAAAAATTGTAATTTTTAAATTAATTTTTTCAAGTCAAATTTTAAATTAATGATAAGAATTAATTAATTTAATTATAATAACATCTTAAGTTAATATTAATAATTATTAATCAATTTCAAATTTGATAAATATTGTAATAACTATTATAATAGTAATTAACTAATTTTATTATATTCATTTTTTATAATTATTATAATTAATAATTTCTTATTAATTACTTTTTATAATTTTTTCTTTATTAATATAATATTTTTCTTTTAGATTATAATAATTATTATTAAAGTAATATGTTTTTATAATATTTAGTAATTTATTATTATGATAATTTATTAATTTTAATCAAATAAATTTATTTTTTTATTTATTACTAATTTAATAATAATTAATATATTTATTTAATTAACATTAAAATAATTATATGAATTAACATAATTATTTTAATTTTTTATTTAACAATATTTATTTTTTAAAATTTTTATTATAATATTTATTATTATTATTTTCATTATTTATTTATTATATATTATAAAATAAAAAAAAAATCAAATTGTGTCCGGCCGGCTCGTGACCGGCCGGGGGGCCGGTTTTTTTCGCGTCCGTCCAACCCCCATAAATGGATGAGTAGCGCGACGTTCGGCCTGGTCGGGCCGAATGCCAAAATGGGTGAACGGTCGCCTGCGGGCCGTACGGGATCACTGAATGTACGGCCCGAGCCGCGTCCGGGTGCGCCGACCGGACGTGGCAACATATTTTTATTAATTTGTTTTTAAATACTTGTAAATTGTAAGAAAAAAATTACCTTGCTAGAGAACAATGCTTTGCTGATGGCGTAGGTTTTTTTTGACATTTTTTCAGATTTTTTTTGGAGCTCGAATGGCTCGTTGAAGTTTCGGTTTTAGAGAGAGAGAGAGTAGAGAGAGAGTAGAGAGATTTAGGTCGAGGGTATTTTCGTAAAAGGGGGCGGTAAATAGCGATTCGCTTCCATCAACCGATATAGTGATGTTAAGTGCATGTTTTGGATACAAATATT